CACACACACACACACACACACACACACACACACACACACAGAGTAATAAAGAACATTCTTTTGCTAATACATCCATTTTCTGAACTCTAAATGTTCATATTTAACCACAAAAGAGCTGCCATGCAGGCTTACACCCAGGTACTGTATATCTGCAGAACATGTTTGACAGAAATCAGGATTATCCACATCCTGCCTACATAACGGCAACATACTGGAATCTACCTCTAGCTAGTTAGCACTGCAAGGTTATTATTCTGCTTTTATTAGCTTTATTAACTGATCTTCATCAGTGTGATCACCTTTAGAGAACAGGTAACAGGAAATCAGCAGCGACCTTAAATAAGACTTCACTATAGTCTGACCTCCTCCTCCTCCTCCTCCTCCTCCTCATCATCATCATCATCATCATCATCAACCCCCCACCTGTGGGCCTGCTCCAGCTCCACGGCCACAGCCTTCTCCTGGCTCCACTGCTGCTTCACGTTCTCTGTTTTGTGCCTTCGTCGCGCCGCTCGCCCCTCATCGCCCTTCTCCTGCACGATGTCATCTGTTGTCTTGGGGCTGCCCAGCTCTCCTGTGTCCGGTTTGCTCTGATGGAGAGAAAAACAAACAAACAAACAAATAAATAAATAAACAAACAAACAAACAAGTGAACCACCATTCTGCAGCAAGGTTGTGTTGCAGATAAGTAATAACTGAAAAATAAATAAACAAAACCAAACAGCGAATATGAACAGTTTTAGATTGTTGGAAACACAGACCAGAATGTCCCAGAAGCTCCGGCGCGTCGTCTTGTTGGTGGGTGTGGTTGATTCGGGGGTGCTGGTTCCTGTCACAGGGGGACCCCCTGCAGTTTGGGTTAGAGCGATGGGAGAGGGGCTGCCCCTGAAGACACGAGAGCCCCTTCGCTGCTGGGGGCTGTCCTTCACTTCTCTCACCTCAGACGAGCACACCCCTACGCACACATTTCATTATTGGACCAAGAAAAATCAAAGCCTCACCTCTGATCCCAGGACTGACGATGGGACAGAATCAAGAAACAGGAGGATTACACTGTGAATGCTTGTCAGGCACTCACACAGCTGAGGCCATTTTTTTCTTTCGTAATTTCTTCATTCATTTTTTTTACTCGTATCTTTTTCTGCGATTTTTGTTCTATTTTAACAATTCAGATATCAAAACGTTCAGCTCCTTCAGGACAGTCCTGCTATGACTTTTGGTGATTCAGCAATTTTTACTTTTTGAGATATTTAGCTTTTCTGCTATTTTTTAAAATCTCATTAACACTTCTTTTGTTCTTGGTTCTCTTTTTACCTCTTCTACAGGCCAGACAACAAACTGTAGGAAGCTTTTTTTTTAGTTCAGAATAATATAAAGCAGTGGACAGCACAACTTATTATCAGCCAATAATATAAAGCTTTGATCATGCTAAACAGGTAAAAATAAACAAACAAACAAACAAACAAACAAACAAACAAACAAACAAATAAATAAATAAATAAATAACTTACCAGCAGCTAACACTAAACAGCTTCACAATTAAATATCAGCGGAAGCTAACGTTAACAGTTAATTGTTAACAATTAAGACGACTGTCACTCAGTGTGTGTCTCACGTTAGCTTGTTGTTTAGTTGGTAGCAGGCTTAGGGCTGGTAAAGTTTAATTTAGTGCTAGCTAATTGGTCTGCTAACAGTTTTCAAAGTTAGTGAAAAAAACTAATCCGCTAAACTGAAACTTAGTTCTGCTGTATGCTGTTAGCCGACCAGACCCACCACTGATGTAAAGTTATGATTTTTGGGCAGCAGCGTCGGCGCGCTGCAACATTTCTGCAGAAACATTTTATTTATTTACCGTACTTTTTTTTTTGTAAATGAACTTTGACAAATAGAAGAATATAAAGACCTCAGAGAAATGGACAAAAAAGCTCAGGTCTGGGTCTTACCTTTAGACTCGTCCTTTGGACTCGTGCTTGCTGATGCTCCGACACAAAGAGGGTGTGGCAGGACTCTCATCTCCATGACCACGTCACAAAGGGCATGGCGCAGCGCCCCCTGCAGTTTGTCACTCAGCTGTAATGGACTGATGTTGCCCTGCTCCCAGATGTCAAACCGTACGTACAGCTGTGCTGCTGTTAGAAAGGAATAAAGAGCTGATTCAGACGTGCAAATACAGAGAAAACAACAACAATCAGGTTCTCATCACCCAAAATGAGTCTTTTACAACACAAACCAGTGCAGGCGTTGTTTCTACCTGAGCGTTGGCTCGTCTCGATGCCCTCCACTTTAACCACACTTGTCAGCTCGTCAAAGTGGTCTGGATGAAGAGGGAGACTGGAGTTCTCTGGTCTGTCCTGAGCTGCAATCTGAATGAGCTGACCGTGAACATCCACAAATAAAAGGGCGATGCAGGCGATTCCTGAAAAAGCAAAAACAATATATGTCTGTTAAAATATTAACTGAAAATGTGTCTCAACATGAATCAGATTCTTTAATATAAAAACCTTCAGCTGTGAGTTGTCCCTTTATAAAAGAAAAAAAAAAGAAAAAAACTCCTGGCTGAAGAGAGATGAACTCCTTCCAGAGCCCAGAACCTCAGGTCCTCAAAGCTGTTGCAGGAACAAGGGACCGCTGTCATTGTAAAGCTGACTCAGCAGTCACACTGTAGTTTGTCTGATTTTATTATGTCATACATGTTTTACAACTTAACTACTTCTACATACTTCAGGGTTTCCCCTAGGATTTTTTTTAACCGTTTAACCGTTTAACACATTTATTATGTTTATTCAAAATAAATCTGCTTCTTATTACTGCTGTAACATGTTTAAAAGAAAAGATCATCAGTAAAAATCCTCAAATCATGTCCTGTTTCTACAAATTGTCTTTGTAACACTTCAGAAGAACTCTTAACTCATGTAGATATAAAAGACAACAGTTAAAAAATGCAACTATCAAAAAACAAAAAAACAAAAACAAGTCAAGCAGGACTTGTGGACTAACAGCAGCTTATTCTATCT